TCTCACTTAGGATTTTTAAAGTCAGATGCATTGATGTTTAACCCTTCCCAGAAGGAAAGCTTAAAGTCTACGTGTGACTCCAAGGTCAGTCATAGGACACTGTGCTGAGGGTAGAGGTGGACATAACGAGAACTGTGCAATGCATGAAAAAGTCAGACTCAGGTGCCGCACTGCCTGACCTCACTGTGCAAGCCTGAGCACCAGGCTTGCCATCTCTGTGCAGATACCATGTCATCTAAAAAGTCAGGCTAGGGATGAGAATATTAAAGTTAATGTTTATAAAGTGTTCAGAACAGCACTTGGTATAAGTAGCCACAGCTATTCATGTGTTTGTTTGTTTGTTTGTTTGTTTGTTTATTGAGAGATGAGGTCTTGCTGAGGTCAGACTGGCCTGAAATTCACCATCCCCCTGCCTCTGCCTCCTAAGTGTTTGTGATTACACAGGCATGAGCTACTGCACTTAACTAAGGCAACACTATTTTAACTGTGTTTTCCTGTTAGGAAGTTTAAGGCACTTGAAAAATTCCCCAAGTGACTGAATGAATCTCAGTATGCTTATACATAGGAAGAAATGTAAGCATGAAATAAAATTTGAAAATGCCCATTTCTGTCAATAAGTCATCTATGTGTACAAAACACATCAGTATGTGCTCTAATTGGCTTTGGATTATACGAGAGAACTGCTGGCCTCCCATACCTGTGACATAATTTTGTAATCAATGGCCCTGTTTCAGATAATAAACAAATTGTATTCTAAATGGTTGAGTAACTTCTGATACAGAATCTAACCACCAAACAACTCCTAATCTGAGGGTATCAAATTGGCATAAAGGGAATCAACAATTCAGAGAACGCAGTTTGGTTTGCTTCCCTTAGGCTGCCACTGAGTTCTCAGGAAGACAGCCAATAAAGGCCAGTGCCCTGCAGTACAGCTTGTAGACATCAAGGCCAGGAACTGCGTTTGTGTGTTAGCAGATGCTACTGCTTGTTAACGCTGCAAGACATTTTGGGAATAGGTACTTGGGACTCTTGGTGTCTAAGTAGATTTTAACATTAGCACTCAATCTTTAAGTAGACTATGTTAGGTAAAAAGTAAAAGCTTCGTATGGATGCTTCCTGTCCCTTACGGAATATAATTGCTTGAAGATGATACACTTCCATGTAGAGCTCTATAAAGGACAAGACATTAGCTGCATCATTATTTCCATGAATATTTCCACCACAGGTGTTTTCATTGTAGTGTCAACGGTAACTATAGTCTGACCAACACATAGATGAAGTGTGGCAAATGTCCTTTCTCATTTTGCGATCTTAGTTCATTCACCCATCACTAAACGTAACATCTATTTAACTTAGATTGTGGAAGCTGCGATGAAAATACAAACAAAAGTTCACTACTCCATTCCAATCTGAGATCATCACTAAACTGTGCATGAAAAAAGTGCAAAGAAAAAAATAAACTTTTGGTTGCTTAGGCTAATTTAGACTGAGGCCTTCAGTATTGTAAGTGGAAATGTGACTAAGTTTATTCTCCACTGGTCTACACATCAGCTAGCTACTCCTCAGTGCTAACCTCATTACATGAGATGACTTTAATAGTAACTTTCCCAGGGACTTTTCCCACGGCTTAATTCACACTTTTCTTCAAATGAAAAGAGATATTCTCATCTCCTAATAAATCTAAAGAAAACAGTCAAGGACTAAGACTTCAAAAATGTTTCATGTGTATTCAAGTCCTGTTACCTCTTTAAAAAAAAAACTTATAAAGATAAAAAGAGGTATATAATGTGATATTTTGATATATTTATATAATATACTAAGATTAAGTTAAGCTAGAAAATTTATTTATTATCTTATTGCCTCTCATAGTGACTGTTAAGGTCACTCATTTAGCAATATGTTATTGTTTACCATACTCACGATGCCATGCAATAAACCACTATAGTTCATTCCTTTTGTGTAAAATTTCATATCCTTTGTCAAGTCTTGTCATTTTAAAATGCTAATTACATGAAGATGAGGTGGCAAGGCTCTATTTATTCATTGAACTGATGCTTATTTTATTAAATCAGAATTTGAACCTGAGTTCAAATGACATGATGAGAAAAACTGAGCAACTAGAGAAAAAATATGAAATTGATTCCATTGCTCTGTGCAGACTTTCTTGGCTCTTTATTTTTCCAGATAATACACATTTAGAATTACTTAATCATCTTTAAAGTCATATTTTAAATTATTATATTAAAATCTTTACTTTCTAGAGACACTATATATATATATATATGTATATATATATATATATATATATATATATACATATATATATATTCTTAAACAAGTGAATTCTTTCTCCTGATCATGCTTACTATGACCAACTGGCCAGTTTTAATTTTCCCTGTTTCCTGCCTAAATTTAAGGCATGTCTTCATGGCTGGGCTCTGAAAACTCCAGGTAAAGGAAAAGTACTAAATAGAATGCCCTTATGTTCAGTTGTCTTCAATAAAAGTGATGTAATCTCAAAAACAGTGACATATCTAACCTCTTGTTGACCTCTGCGCAAGGCTGAGAAAACAGCTTTCTATCATACCGGCTGTAACACAGAGCTCATTTAATGCTAGAGCGTTTTTACACAACATTTCTGTCCATACTCAAGCTAAAATTTCCCATTCTTCTGTGATTTAAAATTAGAATAATGTGATTAGTCACTAAAATTGGAAGTGCTAGAGTTACTAATAACGAAATGGAGTTGAAATTACATTACTGAAATCAGCAATAGGTTTGGTGGAGTATTTTCTGTATCTTCCTCTTTTGAAGAAAAAAAGCACAGTTTCCTCCTACTGCAGAAGTATCGGGTCCCTGCAGCATCGTGACACTTGTAAGCATTCAGTGCTCAGACACCACTACATACCCTTCAAATGATGTGGCCCAGTGAAGCTGGGAGATATTGTCACGGAGCCAGACAGCCTGGCATCTTAGCCACCCACCAGGACAGAGCCAGCAGGCCCCAGCTGCTGTGCTGAATCCAGACTAAGGTAGGATTTTTGACTAAGATTTGGCATTTTGAAAGTGAACTCTCCTGACATTGAATCCTAGGACACACTTACATATAGCAGTGCATTGAGTATGCCAGAAATTATTTACTAGATCCAATTTCTAAGCTTCTCTGCCCAAATTACTTGTAGGGAAACAAGTTCAATCTTAAATTTATTATTCCCTTCAGGTTTCTGAATTTATCCTAAATCATATATATATATATATATATATATATATATATATATGTAGAAAATAATCCCAAGAGTCTTACTCTATAGTCTGAATCCTTGACTGTGTAGGATATGTTAAATGAATAGAGTTATAGGTCCTTCAGCATGATACAATCTAACATAGTGGACTGTTACTCACCAATACCCTTTGGCATGGCAATATCTGCCCAGCATGCTGAGCTTGTCATTTTGATCTTTGGACATATGAAAAACACATAAGATACCACATTTTCTATTTTGCTCTGACTTGGATCCCTGTCCTCATTGTTGAAGTACAAGGGGCTTTGTATTACTCTTTCTTTCTGGTACAGACATCTTTTGAGACCATACCCACAAACTCATCACCTGCAGCTATTCAAAAAGTCAATCTGCAGGATTTGTTACAAGTTCAAGATTTCTTATCCCTCTTGCTGACCTAAACTTAACAGTAGTGCTACCCAAACAGCTGCAGATAATGTTAAATTCCCTTAAATTTCTGTGAGCCCAGACTAGTAGAAACATTATGGGGAAAAAACCTAAGCATCTACTTTCCTAGGGTCGTCTGGAGTGGTCCTCATGCCTAGGGCAACATTCTGTATGGGACTATACCCTGATATCTTCTTGTTGTGTAACATTTGGAGGTTTAGGCTGGCCCCAGTAGCCTGGCATCTGAAACCTGGCTGCTTAATCATGAAAAGGGGGGGGGGGGATACCATGCCTCTTCTCCAAAACAACAACAACAACAAAAAATGAGCCCTTTGCTAGGGCTCATTTAAAAGTGTTTCTAAATTGGAGCCAATCCAACATGATAGTCAGTTTCTGCAACCTTTTCATCTCTGCGGCACTTTTCAAAAGCATCATTTCTTTTCTCCTTCGGACATGAAATGCTGTTTGCCACACAAACAGATACTTTCTAAATGGCAATGGCAGACAGCACCAACAGTCCCCTAACTTCCCCATGCTCCTGTTATGCGCACAGCCCAACTGTAGGTGCAGGACTCCTGCTCCCAGCCCTCCCCGTGTCAATGCTGTCTTCCTGGGGACAGAAGTTAGCAGGCAAGATTCACGCCACCACCCTGACATGGGTAGCTTTGCTCTCCTTTGAAAAAGTGAAAAGAGAGGGTTTTCACGCAAGGCAGAAAAGTTTGCTCAGCCACAGGGCGCCCATCCTTACAATTAACAACAAAAACCAGACAAAGCCTTTTGGGAGTTCCAATCTACAAAGAGAGCAGACCACAGTCACAGAACAGAACCCAAACAATAAAAACTTGAGTGCATGACAGGAAAACTGTGCAGTTCTCTTCTGCTGGCACTGATGGCTCCTCCTGGCCTAAAGCAGGAAAGAGAAAGGTTGGCCCCACCACAGACTCCTCTCCTTGAACAATTCCACCTCGAGGGGCGGAGTGAGATCTGACTGACAAAGGTGGTCAGAGTTGCTTTTCTAAACTGCCCAGGCCTTTGGGCACCACCTACTTGTTCAGTTTCAACCTGAGTCTGAAATCTTCAGTGATTCCTGCCCTGACGATTTGGGAACCTTGGGCATTCAAGCAATCAGGGATGCTGTTAGGCCAGGTCCGTATTGCCCCTTCTGACACTCTGAAATCAACTTTCCCCACATCAGCTGAATTGTTTGAGATGGTTTTTCAGTGTGTGGGAGCCTCCCTCCCAGCCCACCCAGTTCTCCCCTCCTCCCTGCCCCCTCCCCTCCCTCCGGCCTTCCCCCCATCCCACCCCGCCTTCCTCTTTGTTGTCTCCTACCTGCTGGCCAGGCTCTGCCTGCAGTGCTGCCTGAAGGGCATCAGGTGGTAGTTCATGGCGTCCAGCAGCAGCTTCTGGCAGACCGGGTCGGTGCGCATGAAATCCACAGACTGGACCCGCTCCACAAGCTCCGGGGCGGGGATGAGCGCGAAGCGGAGGCGCTTCATGAGGTCGGGTGCGTACTGCATGCGAGTCTCACGGTCGTGCTCCAGCCACAGCACGGACATCTGGAAAAGTGCCAGCTCCGACTCCACGGGGGGTGGCAGCGAGTCCAGCAGGGCGCGCATCTCCTCGAAGTTAAGCAACAGCACATCCTCCACCAGGTACTTGTTGGCCAGCTTCTTGGTCTCCTCCAGGCCGTGCAGCGCGGCGATCTTGCACACCTGCTTGTAGTTCTGCACCGAGATCTGGTCGTTGAGGAACTGAACGCAGAGCTTGGTGACCTGAGGGATGTGCAGGATCTTGCTGACCGACAGCACCTCCTCCACGGTGTCCAGGGAGAGGGTCACGTTGGCCGTGTAGAGGTATTCAAGCACTAGGCGCAGCCCGATGGACGAGCAGCCCTGCAGCACGAGGTTGTTGATGGCTCGGGGACTGGTCAGCAGCTTGTCGTCGGGGGAGGAGGAAGGAGTCCCGGGCTCCTCCTGTGGCGGCTGCTGCTGCTGTGTAGGCTGCTGCTGCGGCTGCTGCTGCTGCTGCTGGTCCTTGGGGGTCCCCAGGCCGTCCTGGCCGCCGACCCCTCCCCCGAGAGGGGGGTGGCTGGAGAAGAGTGAACGGAAGTACTGCGAGCAGGAGGCCAGCACGGCCTTGTGGCAGTGGAACTGTTGGCCTTGGGCCGTCAGGGTCACGTCGCAAAAGAGCTGCTTCCTCCACAGCAGGTTGAGGCCGTGCAGCAGGTTGTCACTGTGGCTGGGGTCGAAGGTGGAGGTCCTGTCCCCGGATCTGGACATGGCGAGCTGACTCCGCGCACCTGGCTTTAAACCCTCCTCCAACCTGGCAGACAGGGGTGGGGGATGGGAGGGGGAGCAGGGTGGTGTAGGGGGGGGGGGGGGTGGGCGGGGGGGGGGAGGGGGGGGGAGGGGGGAGGGGAACAACAATCAAGACCCCCCCCCTCGCTCGGCCTCCTCCCCGTGCGCTCAGGACCCGACCGGAGGAGGGAAGTGTGAAGGCGCCCGAGCCTGAGCGCCTCCAGAAAGGTCCTCGTCTGGGGTCGGGACGCCGGTCCTGCTCCCCGCTACCTCTCCTACACTTCGCCCCTCACTTTCCTAAAAGCACCCAGGCTCCTCTCTTAACAGCAGCAGCAGCGGTGACAGCAGCGGCGGCAAAAGTGGAGGCTGAGGCCGTGACACCTCGTGGGCTCGTTGTCCATGCCCGGCTGGATGAAGGGAAAGGCCCGGAGTGGGGAAGTCAGGGTTGCCCCCCCCGAGAGCTCAGAGGCGACCGACGGCGGCGGTTCCAGGTCAACTGGTGCTGGAAGCTTTGCTTTTCTTAGTTGGCCCAGTTGGGGGGGCGGGGGGGGGGAGGGGGGGGGGGGGGAGGGCAGGACAGGCGTGTGGGTGGGCGATCCTTAGCTCTCCAAAAGCTGGGGAGACCTTCTGGTTAGCCACGCCGCCCCGAATAAAAAGTCCTAGGCTCGCAATCTGAGGGAGGAGATAAAGCCCTTTCTTCTCCCGGGGAAGTGCAGCGGAGCGCGGTGGGGACCCGCTCAGTGGACTCGGCAGAGGCGGGAGCTGTCCTTATCAATTCTAGCTCATTTCCCTCACCCCGGCCCTGCCCGCTTCCCCGCTTCGCAAACTGTTGGCTTCCCTCGCCGCCGCCCCGTTCGGCTAATTTTCCAGAGACGCCTGGAAACCTGGCCCGAGAGAATCCTTCCACCCACACTACTCACCCCACCTCTCGCCCCCTTTCTCCCTGCACCTTTGGCTTATTTCAGCGCACGGAAGTTCAGTCATCTAGTTCCCCTTCCAGTGCGGGGCGGCACCCGGGGATGACTGGGGGCAAGTTGGGGTGCCAGGCTGGACTGAGAGCAGGAGGCTAGAGGCCAGGAGGGGTTGGTGAGGACAGGTCTCCCTCCCTCTCGAGCACCGGGAACAGTCGCTTTAACAGGAGGAACTAAGAGAAGTTCAAGTTAGAAGGCAGGTGTTGGGGGAGGGGCGGCGGCCAGGGAATGGGGGTGGGGGTGGGGGCGCGGTCCAGTGCGGAGGGTGTGTGTGTCGGGGGGGGGGGGTGTCTCTGCTCCGCACCCAAAAGGATCTTGGGTAGTCATAGCATCCCTTCGACACCCGGGGTTCGGCTTCCAGAGGTCCCCCACTCGAGCACCCCCCGCTCCCCCCAGCCCTGGAAGTACTTCTGTAAAAAGTCTGAGCCGCTCGCTTCTAGAGGGTAGGAGGCCGGGGAGGGGAGGAAGCCAGGTGAAATCCCCACGCTGACTCTCTAATCTGTAATTGCACCTTTCAGGGCTGAACAGGAAGGGACCCTCTGCCCGCGCGTCCCGCCCGCGCGCCCGCCGGGACCACCGCCACCTCCGCCCGGCTCGGAGGGACCCTCCGGACCTGCCCCTTCCGCTGCGGCTCACTCTGCCTTGCCGGGCGCCGCTTCTGGATCGCCGGCTTCTCATTCCTATCAGACTGGGCTCCTCTCCACTCACTTTCCCATCCGGTTCCAGGTGGACCCTAACCTCCCTCCCCGGCAACCCCCCCCCCTCCCCCGCCCCAAAGCTCGGGCTTGCGGGGAAAACATCTGAGTCTTCCCTGGAAGTGGCCCGGTCATACCTCTCTCTTGCTCTCCCCGCTTCGTTGTCTAGCCCCCCCATCTTTTCCTAGTCTTTTTCCTTCTTGTTCACCCTCTTTGCTTCCACACACCCCCATCTGCTCCCTTCTTGCAATGGGAGTTTTATTCTTTATAAGCGTTTGCCACCCGATGCCCCCCCCCCCCAAGTCTCCCCCCCCTAGACCCTACAACAACCCAAAAGACAAGGAAAATACAGGCAAGGCAAACCCAAGGCCAGAAACTTACCTGCTGTCAGCCAGCTGCAAAGTCAGGGCTCACTTAAGCTCCCCCCAAAATCAATTGTCCTTCCTTTTTAAAGGTTTGTCTCTCCTTGGGAGGGGAGCACACCTTCGGGATCCCAACTCCAGGCCGTCACTCTGTGCAATTTATTTTGTCGTACATCATTTGATCACCATGAATTAGCAACAGCAAGAAAATATAGGAGAGGGAGAAAAGAGAGAAAGAGAGAGGGAGAGAGAGAGAGGAGAGAGAGAGGGAGAGAGAGAGAGAGGGAGCAGAGCTTTCTGCAAGAGAAGAAGAAGAAAAAATGTACGTGTGACAAATTATGCTACCAAGAAACAACACATCATTATCCTTGGGCCTGGGGCTCAGTGAGTCGTAACGAGAGTAATAGGAAATCCACGGTTGGGGAGAGAAATGGTCGTGCTTGGCCAGTAGAGAGAGACCATACAGGAGGATGGATGCTGGAGAGACTCGCAAAATTATGGCTCAAGGCTATTGTAAAAATTGTCGAGCGTAAATGACTGCGATTTCAAACATCTTTGGAAGAAAGAAGGGGAAAAAGCGAGCCCCCCCTCCCTCCCTCTCCCTCTCTCTCCCTCTCTCTTCTCTTCTCTCTATAAAGAACCGTCAAGTTTTAGTGCGCATTGCTAATTAGTCAATTTCTCTCTGCCTTCACAGGCTGGCGACTTCGCTGCTGAGCTGAAACTGCTAATTTCTGTGACCAGCTTTTTTCTTAGCTGTGATCTGGATGAATGAGTAGCTGTCTCACAGAGATGACAAAAATAAACTCTAATCCCCCCCCAAAATTTCCACTACATCTTTCTCATGCATAGATTTATGATCTTCAAGCGCTCTGTGCAATATGCAAACTTTTTTGTGTCTGTGTAGATGCTGTTGTTTGCAGCTTCCACAACATCGGTATGCCGGGTTTTTCCTTCCACCCCCCAGCCCCCTCACACTCTCAAATGCAGAAGCTGTCTGGTCTCAAAGTATGCTAGGATGCCACTTTAGCCTGTCTTGGTGTCTAGGGTGTGGGTGGGGCTGACTTAGAAGAGAACAGTCCTTGCCTAGAAGGGCTGAGGACACACACCAGGGATGGGGGACATAGAGCTGGCAGAGCAGAGGGCAGTTTCTTGCTTTTCCTCTCTGTACTATGCAAGCTTTATGATCTTGTTGGAAAACATTTTCCCCTTATTATTCTTGTCTGGTTAAATAACCTCTTTTGAAGTTCTCTGTCGGCTTTTGACACATAAGAGTACAGAAACCACGTTTTTATTAAAACATTATCATATTGTCAGATTTGTATTTCAATTAAGAGTCTTTGGTTTGCAGGAGCTGGAACTCTCCATTAGGAGACCCAGCTGCAATTTCACAAATGTAACCTTTCAACTTTGGAGTTCACTTGATAAATAAGGGCCATCAGACAGGGATCACATTGCTGACCCTCCTTAGCATTCAGAATGAACCTCAGCCTGCTTCTAGGCCTTCAGACCCACGAGAAAGAAATGTGCATTGTGGTGGAGGACATGTTCTTCAGACTTATCTCATGGGGAAGGATACCCTCATTTAGGCTATCGATGGGAGTTGGAGGTGTTCAAGGCCCCCCCCCTCACACACACCCATGGATGGGGGGGCAGAAAAAAGAAAGGTATGTCCTTAAATAAAATGACTATAAAAGAAAGCCGGGCATGAATTAAATTGAGTTTTGTTTGTCAATAAATATAGAATATGATTCATTTTAATGTGCTCTGGCTAGTACATTTATTAAAATCACCCAAGGGGTTTTTTTTTTTTTTTACAACACTCCCCCTTTTGATTTGTGAGAAATGGAAAGACACCTGCTTAAGTGAGATGGGGGGGGTGCAGAGGAAGCTGAATTTTCTGGGGCTTAGAAGTAGGGAATTTCCCAGCTAGAATGATAACATTAACATGCATATGGGATATTTACTCAAATAAATGAAGGGGGATGAAACGGAAGCGCTTACAAGGGCCCTTTGCTGTTCAGGTTCCTGGGTTATTTGAGAGCAAGTTTCCTTTATTCATGTCTAGCTGAGGTTCTGCATTCTCCTCTCCCACTATCCAGAAAAACTGAATACATAGTAAGACACAAGACAGGTTCTTTTTTGTCATTATTCTTTAGGACCAAGAAGATTCAAGTTATCTGGTCCTACTATTTCTAAAATTCTTTTCAGTTCTGAACTTCCCTTATAGGATCTTGCAAAGGAAGACTGTATGTCTGTAACACAGACATGTGGGATCTATGCCATTAAGAGCTAACAGTGCTAAGTATATACAGTGTTAAACAAATTCTCATGCACGCAGAGTGCAAGTCCACCTTCTGCTTCCTGTTGGTCTCCTATGGACTTCCAGAAGGTGCTTGGAACTCAACCCAACAATGAATAATGACAAGATCATCTAAATAAGTCTCCTCTTAGTATCACAAAGGAACTAAAGCATATTTTGTAGGGATTAAATTCTGTTTTGAATTTTTTTCTTAATTCCTTTCTCTTATTTACTACATATATAAATATATATATTAGTCACTAATATATGAATATTAGAGTCTTCATGCCTCCAAACAGTATAAAAAGCACATTTTAAGAATTTTTACCTGGCTGTGATCTTGTTATCTAACATCTAGCTGGAAGAGGCAGCAAGTAAAGGTGGGAACTTCTCATGGTGAAGCGTGATAATGTTTGAACTTTCAGAGGAAAAATAATGACAACTATGACTATTCTGAAAGCAATTGAGAATACCAAAACAAACAAAAAATTCCTCATAATCTGTGCACAAATGAACATGTGTATCATGTAAACCTCATACCTCTAACATCTTGCTTAGGCTTTGACTATAATGGTTGCTGGACTCACAAATACGATGACTCTGTTTACAATAAATCCTGTTATGAAAGATTCAATTTGCAGCAATCAGATGGAAGCTACTAAGCAATTGTAAGTATTTGAATTTT